CTCTGTTGTGAACGCGGGCCATGCTCTGCCGGCAGGTGCACGCCTCGCCATACCGGCAGCACGCGGCTTACCTGGGCGCCTGCGTGCTGGCCGGCGCGGACGCCTTCCAGTGGCGCGCCGTCACGCGCGACCGGTGGCGCCGCCTGGGCGTCGCCGCGCTCAACGTGTGAACGCCGCGCGCCCCGCCAGGGGGTCAAGTGCGCGGCTGAGAAGTGCGCCGCTAGAGGCATGGTCTGTGATTTAGGCTGCGGTTTTCGATGATGTGTGTGCTTGGGGGAGGGGGGGGGGGATTCGCGCGCAGAGTGTGTGATGGTGTGAGGCATACCGTGGCACGGTGTTACGTCGATGGTCATGCGGCCGCGGACGTATGCGGCTGTGTTGATGACTATCGAAGGCGATGAACCGGTGCTCGTCGATGTCTTGATTAATATGCCGTCGAGATTTGATGAACAGCCCCCATTGTTGTACGCAAAAATTCAGGAAGTGCTGCGTATTTGATGGTTTTCAAAAGGAGCAGCCATCTTGAGTCCCCGCCTGCTTGGTCCGGTTGTCTTCCGTCTTATTGGGCATGTCGTACTTTTTCTTCTGGGGTGTCATCTCCATAGCAGGGGTCAGCATCTGTGGCAAAACACGGGCGGGCGGCTGGGTCGCGCATGGGAAATGAATACTGAGTCGTGTTCTTTAGTTCTTTTTTTCACGCCTGTTTATTCTGGCTGCTCAAGGCAGTAACACGGTAGATGCCAGTGCCAATATTCTTTGTAATATGATGCAGCCAAATGTGTGCACGCCTCGCTGTACGTGGTTCAGATCGCCGCTCCCAAACCGATTAGTTGTGTATGAAAGCTGATGAATTACGCATATAAACCACGCTTACTGCGGTTTAGCTGAGGCAAATCTTAAGTTTTGAATCGACTGTATGATCATTTACCACATACACATGAGAGGCTGGTTGCGCCCGTACGTGTTCCCAGTGCAGCGACGAACAATACAGATTGACGGCAGTTTACCGGGCGCTATCATTCCGCATATCAGCGACATCGTATGATAACCGAACAAACTCATTATCCAGAAGTAAACGGACAAAATCGGCTAATTCGTTTCAAAAAGAAAAGCAAATGAAACCACACGAAAACAGTCGTGGTATCACTTGCGAATTACCTCGCGTTTGTCAAATTAGAAAATAAAACACCAGGCCAACAGTCCTCTAGTATAACGTACTGAAGTGCACAATACACAATAACAGTTTCATTTTTGTTTGCGATACATCCCGAACAACATTTCTGCGTTGTGAAGAAGGAAGGGTCACCAATGACGCCGCACCCGGTACTCCACAACCGTCGTATTGTTGCCAACAGAGGTGTGCACGACCCCGTTCGGGGTCCCCCTTCTCCCCCCCCCCCCCCCAGCTGCTCAAGCTAGACACTCAGTAGACATGATGTGCTAAAGAATGTTGATGGTATTTCGTCACACATATGTTGTGTTACCTCCATTGTGTTAAATCCAGCCACGTACTTCATCGTCCGGTTGTTAAAGGTGAAGCTGAACTGTTGACTAAGGATGCAGATGCAACCCCAAAATCTCAGAGCGCTGGATGCCGGCTTATGGTGTTACGTCGGGTGAGTGCACACAACAAACAATGCATTCCTAGCATTTTAACTTAAAAAATTCCACCGCCGCACTGGTGCGACTATATGCGCGGCAAAGTTCACGTCATCTGCCCAATTTTGTTATAACAAATAGACGCGTTCACATGTGAGCACTTAACTAGCACAATAAAGGCAAACATGGCGCAATTGTTGTTCCGAAAACATATAGCACTAACGCAACTGCATCATTTGTAGTCCGCGCTCATTGTAGGTGCATCCGTCCGGCTCTCGCGTATTTGCCTTGGGAGACTTGGCATATTGATCTCTGGAGGGTCTCGATACTCCTCCATACCCCGCACCATTCATGCTACAAACTTGTGCATGCGGTATTGCTGCTGCTGGACGCTGTGCAACAGGAATGTCTTCAAATCCTAATGTGCTCCCTTCAATGAGTTGCATGGAGTTCCATCTCCGGCTCGTGCGCGTGCGCACATAGTTGCAACATCTTTGGTTGGCATGGTATCCTGTTAAACGCGGATAACCCTCGCCACCGCGACACACGGTTGTCACGAAGCATGCAAGCATTAGGTACTACCGAATAAATAAATGCAAGCATGCAGAAGAAAGTTAGATCTGAAAACACACCAGTCCTCGGATAAAAACCAGGAGAATGGAGATATAGATGCGTCGACATGTTGGCAGCATGTCTTAATCGAAACAAATAGCAGAAGAGCTTTTCGCACCATTCATAGAATAGCAGAGGGGCCTTTGCTGTCCGTTTTGATAGTCATGTTACCGAGATATCAACGCATCTATATCTCTATTATCCTGGTTTTTCTCCGAGGAATAAGGCTTTTACTACGGTCTTACTAGGTTAATAATGTTCTCACAAATGCACTAATCAAGTTATATAACACGCAAATTCGCATAAAACGTGAGCGACGTGTTCGGAACACATTACAGAATCTTGACATATGTCGTTTACGCCTTTCTATAGATCAATTTATGGCACAGTGAATCAATGATATGATCCTGGATAGCATTGGCGTGTAACATACCTTTGTGCGAATCGTGTGTCATATGGCATGCATTTACCATAGGGAACTTTGCTTGGGTAATTAGCTTTTCCTATAGGCTAATTATCAATCAAAAATAAAATCACATCAAGATAGTGCCGGAATCAGTCCTGGGCAGTTGTTGCGTGATTAGATGTGCTACGCATGGCCTGAACAAGCTTGCCACCGTATTTTAAAGATACGCTGTGTTGTGACTGATCCAGAAGGGGAATGGGCCCATGGCCCTCCTTGGGCCGAAGGGGCACCAAAATCTCGCAGTAAAGGGGCACAGAAATCCTCATTTTAGATCCACATAGCCTATATTTTTAGACGTCCCAAAGTTAACACTCACCCGGGTGGCCGGCTAGATACCCTTCGCTCCGCTGGGGGGGGGGGGGGGGGAAGGGTCAATTTGACCGCCCTAAGATCTCGGGAACCAAGAAAGCTAGAGACATCAAATTTACAAGGTGTATTGATCGGTACGTGAACTCACTGAGGTCAAAGTTTCAGGTTCCTAGCTCATGACCTTCAGGTCAAAAAGATCAAACAAGTTCAAGTTCCAGGTTGGTCTCCAAAGTGGCCCCAGAACCTAGATAACCGTTTCCAAGCAAAAAGTCACATCCTCGTTCAAGGTCAGTGACCTTTCTTGACCCTTTGAAGGTCAATGTGACTAAAATCATACAAGATTGCTCTGAGTTTTGCATTTGACTAAGCGACCAAGATTACGCTAGGCAGTATGTTCCTAAAACAAAGGGTTGACCTGGGTCATTTTAGGTCGATGACCTATTCTGACCTCTAAGACGTCCATGGAAGATGCATAATGCGGTTCCTGCTATCAATAAAGTCAAAATGAGCACCATAAGCTATCCCACACAGCAAGCCCTAGAGTAACAAAACAGGTTGCCTCTGGCCGTGGTGTGACCTTCATACCTGACCTTAGGTTTATGTAATTTGCTCATTCAACTGCTGTATCGCCTAAGAAAGCATCTCAGAGATGAATGGCTTTGTCTAACACTCCGTTGTTGGATCAGATTAAAGGATTCCTTAGAAATTGCCTTCGCTGAAACCATAGCCTGACTTTGACTTGCCGTAGGTCGGCGATCTTACAAGGTGCATGTAAATTTTTGATTCCAAACGATCCCCTATTCAATTGTATACAGCTATGCAAAATTTGGCGCGGCTGCCCCGTGTCGTTCGAAAACATTCTGGAAAAACCTTTGGGGGGTTCAATTTGACCCCCACCCGAGCGCGTCTTAAAGGAGCATCTTAAAATATAGGTACGACAAGCTGGCCCAATTTTTCAGGCTTAACATGAAAATGAAATAAATTTGAGTTTTCATGCCGCCAAAAGTCCCCTTTTCTCAAAGAACGGTATCTCTGTCGTAAATTGTGCTAGGGTCCCTGACCATGAGGACGTGACAATTCACCCTATTTACATGGGTAGCTGTGATTCATCTCGATCGGAATTATCGGGCGCATATTCTCTTCTCACCATCCCTTCTCACCCGCGCGCCGTTCGGCAAATTCGAATCACGTGTTGAAATCGTTTCTTATGAGAAGATCATCCGTTCAGGGATGGTTTTGGGGTCTGAGTCCCAGAGGCTTGACCAGATTTGAATCTTCTCCACCAACTTTAATGTTTGAAGTTTTTGTTACCAGTCTCGGCGCCGGCATTATTATGCTACGCCTGCCGTTTCCTCAGATCCATATATCTGCTAGTTCTGTCCCTCCGCTTGTCTGTCCAGCCTCCGATCCTGTTACGCGTCTTACCCGCTCCCCTCCTCCGTCCCTGGTTCGCAGTCGGATTTTCCATTCCGGTCTAAATTCGGAATACCTATAATTATTTTCTCATGTGTCTCCTGAGACAAGGCCCTCTGGATTACCTGGCGATGGCGCAAAGCCCCCTGGGTTATCCAGCATTTGAGGGCCCGACCCTGTGAGCCGGGCCGCTAATGCCACCTCCGGCCAACCCTCCAATTGGGGCCTAGGGCGGCGGGGCATTTACCCACGGTACCAGCCACCACCCCCTTAATTACGACCCCGGGATACTGGTGGGGGTACCGCCATGCGTAACCGGCTGCGAGCATTGCCCACTGGCGGCCTGGATGCGCTATTTCGGCAGCACAACAGGTGCAATAGGAGGTTTGACACCGGCTTTTATTGCCGTTATTGCCTTGAATGTGCATGTGGAGAAGATTTGGTGGTTTGCAAATCTGGGAGTTGTATGACGTCATCAGACCACCATGGGAGTCGTGATTGGTCAATTCTGGCTTCATCTAGGCGTATCAGATGCGCCGAGATCCGTCGAGAGGGTATCGAACAGGGGACTAATGCGTCGCGCCGCATCTTACGTTGAATGGCGCAGACGAGTGGAGAACGCATTGCGATTTTTGAAACGGTAGGTGCCGATGACCCCGTGGCCGGGCGACTTGTTCGTTTGCTATAGTTTCAGTGATGGGAAATGTATTTTGAGCTGATTTTGTTTCCAGTTTTGATTTATTCTATTTCCTCTGACATTTAGCACTATCTGCTGCTAGCCGCGCGTGATTCTTGCCTCCCGGGTCAAGCTTAGAAGAATGACCGACAGTTTGATGGTCGACCGATGGTTTCGAGCTTTTCATCGCAATGCACACTTAATTGGTTGCTGCATGGTGTTCTTCAGTATGGTCTCAGGATATCTTGGGCCCAGTCTGCAATGATCATCTGTGCCAGACACATGACATGAGCATGTTGTAGTGTGGGCATACTGAAATGTGCTGCATTTTCAAATTTTTGGTATGTTTGCCTGACATGGCTACTTTCCAATTACATGAAAGGTCCTTTTTTGAGCAGTGGTAATTTTGTTTGAGCAGTGTCAAGATGTAACAGCCAAAACATGTTTTTTTTTCTACCAAGATAGTTTGACTTGGAATTGGTTATCAGATGCATGCAGAGTTCAGAGCATCAAAGTTCAGTGTCACACACAATTTGTGCTGTGGATGGATTTTTTAAGATGGGTGGGGAGAGGACTGCATGTGGAGACTTTCAAAAACTAGGGGAGATCAAATGTTGTGATTGGAGGGAGGGGGGGGGGGGGGGTACAGGTTTTAAATGTGCTGAAGCATTGAGACATTTTCATTTGGGAGAAAGATGATAGCCTGTATAGGAGACTTCAAGATTTATGGATTATCCTTGCCTGAAAGGCTGATTCTCAAATTGATGCATGAGATGAAAATGTTTTATATCATTGACTGATGCCAAAGAAAGTTTCTATAGTTGGATGACAAGATGAAGGCTATAGCTCATCTTGATATGCCTGCTTCAAATAATAATCTAGCAATTTTTATAGCTGAGATGGTTTCCACTTACTGAGAGACAACCAAAAATGTTGTTCACTGGCCATTGTACTGTTTGCTCATCCTTGGATCTGCACTTACAGTGAGCATAACATCATTATACATTCAGCATAAGTTAGAGAACTTCATTTCTCATATCTGTATGTGCTCATCCCGTGCTTGCAAACTGGAGATACACAAGTTCTTACTAGAACTTTTGAATAGAGCAGTTTGAGTACTACCACAAACTGGCCACTTTGTGTCAAGAACATTCAATGCCTTAGTAACACAAAACAGAGCTGGAAATGCTCCTAGGTTTCCCATGTTTTCCAAATTGTTTTCATTATAGGCTTGATATGCACAGTTCACTGTGCTTTGAAAACCTGCATGCTTCTGTGGCTCTATTCCCAGGGCTTTGTAAAAAAGTTGATTTAATTCACATTGTGTTTTTCTGTCAAAAACCAGCATGGTGGTAGCAATTTTGGATTTGAACTGTTTTGGCACAGTTCATTGCCATATTTTGTATCACAGTTGTCAGCATGAGGCACTCATGCAGATGCAACAAAGTCAACATGTTTTGCCTTGCGGCATCATGTACGCCAGCTGGATTTGTATCATTAAATCAATGTTAAGTGTAATTTGTTACTGATTATATGAGTTGACGGGGACATTTAAAAACTTTTGGCTGTTCTGTGCTCATGCCTACGCTTATTACATATTACAGGCTTACTGAACATGGTTGTAAGAAAACTAGAAAGAAGACATGCAGTTGGCACAGGGAAAATATTGTCACCACAGGAGCTGTCAAATTGTGATGACATTGCAACAGCTCTGACAATTGACCCATATCTTGGCTTCATCACACACAAAATGTGTATCAGGTAAGTCACTGTTTTTTTCTGGTATCCACATCACCTGGCTTTTCTGTAAATGATAACTCTTTCCCAAAAATGATGTTCACCATGTGTAATTATCAAAATGACAAAAAAGACACAATGTCTGAAAAATGGGATGGAATAATTAATGATGATTTCTAATCCACTTGTTAAAAGTGTGGGTTTTTACAGTTGTGAGAGTGAGTGAAAGAACCAACTTGTGGCCCCATAGTGTGCTTGCACTGTTTGTTTTCACTAAGTGATTATTGGATAGGAAGGGCATTCTGATGTGTACTTGTGTGTATTGCTACATGTACTAATAAAACCAGTTTCAGTGCAAAATTGTTTTCATCATATTTTCTTCGAGCCCTCTGGTTAAAAGGAGTGTTCCACATTTGTATAAGGTTTTGAACTGAAATAGCCATCTTGGAGGCCATTCAGTGCAGTTCACAGCCATGCCCTTCTTAAGACCTAAACCATTCTAGTCTCTGAGCTACACACCCACAAAAATGTGCAAACTACTTGTGGGAGATTATTCAAAGATACCCAGGTATATATGATCCCATATACCATCATTTAAATCCTGTCATAACATAGCCACACAATAATTAAGACCAAGTAAAATATAATTGATAAAGTTGTTCGTATTTGGTGCTCATAAGCATCATTTCCAGATATGATGGCCATCACTTGGCTCTCAGTGTTGTGTGAGCAAGGTATGATGACATGGGGAGGATATTCCCTAGACAGACAAATTTTGTTGTTTTCAGGAGCCTTTTCCACTTTTAAGAGTACTTGTAGTTAAAAGTGAGTTAACTTCGTCATATCTGATACTTGCTTCAACATCTTAAATTTAATTCTCACCACAATTTGGTATTACCGGCGTAGGCCTCGCACTTCCTGAAAATGTCAGTCAACTAAATTAGCATGCAAGCTATAACATATTAGGAGAAATAGTTACAACAAATAGGTATGAATACATCTAGCATCCTTAAGACACCTCAGCATACCAAATAGTGGCAGTGTAGTGTTTCCTTCACCCCTGCTACTTACCCAGTTTGCATCAACTGGCGCATAAATTTGCGGTGCTGCTGCCAGCTGCTTATTAAAAATGTTTAAGGTTGCTTCAGACTTTCAGCGGATTGTTCGGTGACGTCACAAAACCACGAAATCGCTTGTCAGATGGTGTTAGTTTCCTGAACGAAACGATCGTTTTAGAGTATTAAAGAGAATGTTTAACATTTAAACGTGTTGAATCAAGTGCCAGATATGGTGAAATAAGTTTATCACCATGGTGAAGTGGGAAAGACTGGTCCGTCGTCAGTATGACAACGTGATCCATGAGGTTCAATCGAGCCATGATTATCCAGAGCCTCATCCCGCAGTCTGCGCGCCCCTAAACTCCAGTAACCAACAGAGGCTCATCAATACCGAAAGATGCCCACTGGACTCGGTTGTAGCTACGGTGCGCGTCTACAATGACGCCAAAGGGGACTGGATGGAGTAGACCAGACGGCATGGGACCAGACAGGATCGAGAGGGACCAGACCGAGTCGAGCCGAACAGAATCGGAAGGGAATGGTCTGTTCCCGTTCTTTCCCGTCCCGCCCCGTTGCGTCCCATGCGGTTCTTTTAGCTCACATCCGGTGCCGTCCGATTCCGCAAAATCCCGTCTGGTCCCGTCTGGTCCCATGAAGTCTCGTCTGGTCCCATTCAGAACCGTCCAGTGCCATCTGATCTCGCGGGGTTCCATCTGATCCCGCCCGGTCCAGGCCATGGGCCCGATCTCCACAGCACGTGACTCAGTCGTAGTTTGTCGTTCGCTCGCTGTGGTTCGCACGCATGACGGAAAGCGCCTAGTTTTCGCAACGGACTTATCTGGCTTAGACGCACACCGCTACTGCAGCTGGGTCTAACAGTTCATCATTCGGTGACTATTTGGCCATGGAGAATCGCGGCACGTAGGAAAAATGGGTCTGACGTATGTAGATGGTTAAAACTAGAACTGTTTCATTGGGAGAACTAACCCAGTTGAAGTGAGTTTGTGTTTTTCTGACGTCACCCTACATACGATCAGCTGGAGGCGTTATCGAATTTCACTGTCGTCGCATGATCAGCTGATAGCTTCACCACATGTATGTGTTGCTTCATTCGGACGGGGTGGGTGACTGACGTGGTGGAAAACTCTTTATTGTTGTTAGATCGGGCACAGAGGTAAATGATGGTGCTGGGACTATTCATAGATGTGTAGTTCATCTTTTGATGTCAATGTGATTTGGCTCTGACGAAACAGATTTGATTCATAGTTTTTTGGGACGTGCGAGGCCTGCGTCGGGAATACCCAGTACTTGTGCACTTCACTTCATTAAAATAGAAATGATGCAAACCAGTTTAGTGCAGTTCTCAGTTATCAACTGATTCTATGCCTAAACTCCATGCCTCATCACGTACTCGGGTGGGGTGGTTATCAGTTTGCAGAAAGACTTCCAAACGTTACGATGTTGCGGTGCCAAAGTTTTAGCAAACTACCTGGAGCTATTTTGTTCTCGAATAGATAGTTCTGTGGAGGGCGATTTGGACGCTCTTTTGGAATTCTGTGCTCATGAGGCTTAAACATTCAACAAATTTCATTTGAACTATATGAAGGTCAGATGAACAAATACCCTGAGAATGACTGATTAAACTTTTGCTTTCAAAAAACGTCCTGTCATCGCAGTTCTAGGCGCTAATTCATAATTCAAATATAAAAATAATCTCAACATGGCTTTACTTCTTTTCAAATGAAAAGGTTTGATGTTTCTGACCTGACTTATTTTTTACTTCTAGTTAGGAGAGATTACTAGACTTAAGCTGCTTGTGTGAGGTCACTTCTGACGCATACGTCGAAGTTGACCATACTTGGCCTGAATCACGCCCTAGGGACTAAATAATTTGACGGATGAATTTACACAGAGTGCTACCTATCCTGTGAGCAGTGCTCCATCTCTCTTGTTTTATAATATCCCGTGCGGCCAAATTGCCCCAAACTGTGCTAGTCTTTGGTACCATGTTATGTGTGACAGTTTCTTAACGTGAGCCTTTTGAATAGAAATATTTCTGGGATCTGCGCCGCAGGCGAAGCGCCCTAAAACTTCTTGGACCAGAGCTCACGCTAAGCAGTGATTGTGTGAACCCCGACCTGTACCACTCGATCGTGTAATTCCAGGTTAAGGGCCAAATTTGTTGGCGAAAGTTTTGCATCCCGGAATGCCTGGCATGGTTCGTCCTGCCCCCTGACGGCACTTGACTTAACGCTGCCGCTGACACCAGCCGTAGGCCATGTCTGTCCAGGACAAAATGCGATCGCCTAAAGCGATTCGAATCTACCCCGTCCGATTGGTTGGAAGCAGGTGCTCTAATTGAGGTATGGGCACGGACGGACGGGGCAGTTATACCCTCAGTCCACCACTGTAACATGTGCTCCTACCATTTGGTATCAAAATGTTTAAAGATTTGTTCTAAGGACATCTTAACATTGTTTTTATACAGTGTTAGACTAGCGTTTGTGATGGCCAAAGCATGACGCAGGAATCGACCCCAGGCCTGCCACGACGAAGACTGGGTCAGTGCCAAGTAAGATAATACGCATGGGATAAGAGCTTTCCACTTTCAAAGGACCTGTTGACCCGTGATGAATTCAACTTGTCTTCCAGGTACCGGCCTCCGCGATTAAACAAGAAGGAGTTGCAAAATATCATCCTTGCTTTTGTAAAAGATCAAAATTATCAGGATGCATACAGACGCCTTTATCACTCCGAGGCAATGAGCCAGCTGCTGGTCTTCTTTAAACACCGAGTAAATCGGGATGACCTCCAGGATCACGTGAGTCTGTCTTCCATCTTGAGCAACAGCTTTGGCTTGAGCGTACGTTCCCGCCGAAGTTTTCAGCACCCCGTCAAACGTGCATAGAGCCCGCGTTCATTTGAGAACCCCTGTGACGCCGGAGTTTGCGTGCTGGGCCGGCGTTGCCATTCGGCAGTCCCGATAGTTATAATTGACAGACTGCTGCCCGATTATTCATCATTTGGCGAGCGGTCAGCGCCACGTGTACACTATCTTCCAGCCCGGCATATTAAGTGCTCACAGCTGACGTGCGCATCGCCAGACTGCTGTGGCACGTGTGGAGCGGGCCGATGGTGGCCGTCTGACGGGTGCCCGCCTGTGCCCAGGTGATGAAGTTTCTGGCCGTGCTAAGCGCCGAGTCCGGCGTGACCATCATGGGCTGCACGCGCTACTCGCTGGAGGACAACGCCGGGGCGCGCGTCTGCGCCACGCGTTCGTGGTGAGACGCTCGGCTGCGTGCGGCTCCAGATCGGCACGCGCGCCCCACAGCGCCGTGTGCTGCTGACGCTTTCCAACACCGAAATGGCGTAAAGGGACCACTGCGGGCGCCCCCAAAACGCTAATTAACAAGATATCATGCCAAAGAATGCCGGATGGCGCCCTGTGCACACGCGTTGGTTAACGATGTCGGTTATGATGTTCCCGTAGTTTTGCCAATTTCTGAATGGGTTATGCATTCCCCTGTCTAATCGATGATCTGTTCTAACTGGCTTGATGCTCAAGGTCCGGCTAGCCGTATGTGTACCAGGGCGACGAGCGCGTTGAGCTGGCGACAGCGAGCGCTCACACGCCCCCCGGGCATGGAGAGCCGTGTGGTGGTGGGGAACAGACGGCGGTAGCTCCGCGTGACGCGTCGCGTCGCCGGCCGCAGGTCGCGCAACGAGGAGATCCAGTTCCTGGTGGGGTGTATTGCCGAACTCTCGGAGGAGGAGGAGAACCAGCTGCTGCAGCCGGGCAAGAACGACTTCTCGGTCATGTACAGCACGCGGAAGAAGTGCGGCCAGCTCTGGCTGGGCCCGGCCGCCTACATCAACCACGACTGTGACGCCAACTGCACGGTAACGGACGCACGCGTCCGCGCGCCGACCGCGCTGACGTGTGAAGAGGGGTGTGTGCGGCGTACCGACCGCGCTGACGTGTGAAGAGGGGTGTGTGCGGCGTACCGACCGCGCTGACGTGTGAAGAGGGGTGTGTGCGGCGTACCGACCGCGCTGACGTGTGAAGAGGGGTGTGTGCGGCGTACCGACCGCGCTGACGTGGGAGAGGGGTGTGTGCGGCGTACCGACCGCGCTGACGTGTGAAGAGGGGTGTGTGCGGCGTACCGACCGCGCTGACGTGTGGAGAGGGGTGTGTGCGGCACACCACCGCGCTGACGTGTGGAGAGAGGCGTGTATACAGTGCTGCGTTTGCTGCACAAACAAACTATTATGGTTAGTCATCTGTAGCCATAAACAGTTCCGTTTTAGTTGGATTGAGTGGTTTTGCAATAGTCATCAAGCGATTCCATCAGGACGAATTTGTGGTAATCCGCCCCAACGGCTTGAATGAACTGCGAGGGTGCGCGACCAAACGTTCAGCCCTTAAAGTGGCGTCACCTCCCCGGAAACATAACATTCGTACGAATCGTTTGGTGACGGGCATCGTTTATACAGCGCAGCCTAGTCGGAAGCTAGCTGGCTCAGCCGAGCCAGGCGGGCTGGCCATTCTGGCGCAGATTACCAACACAAGTACTACGGGTGCCTAAATCGACGTCTAAATGAGGTTTCAGTCGGACTTTGTTCACGCATTGCATTCTCACACCGATGCGTCCACTGCCAAACGGTCCGCTGGCTGGGCCTGCGGGGCCGCCGGCCGGCGTACGATGCTGACCGCGTGCCTCGCGTGCGGCAGTTCGTGGCCACCGGCCGGCAGACGGCAACGGTGCGCACGCTGCGCGAGATCCAGCCGGGCGAGGAGGTCACCTGCAACTACGGCGGCGACTTCTTCGGCGACAACAACTGCTACTGCGAGTGTGAGACCTGCGAGAGGTGAGCTCGCCGCGCTCTGATCACAGATCCGCGAGGGGGGGGGGGGGGGGGTAGCGCTACCAGCCGCCGCCAGCGTGTTGGACACTAATTGGCTATTGGGTATGAGACGTCTGCAAAGCAAAAGAGTGGCCTGCCGGTGTCATTAGGGTAAAGTAGTAGCATGCTCACTGACGTGGTTCAGTGCTTCCTCTAACATCGATATGGGGCAAACCAATCCACGACATGCTTTCCAGTGCTTGCATAACGATTTTTGTTCGAACGTCGTGCATATAATCCAGTGCTGTTTGCTTTCTAAGTGATGTAATAATTTGTAATAATTTTGGTAAGTAGCAGTAGTTCTATACTGCCTGCGGTCGGATATCCCCTCCACCGTTACTTCCCCTGTGGCGTGCCAGCCCGGGCCTGACCGCTGAGCGTTACTCGCGCTGCCCGCAGGCGACAGCGGGGGGCGTTCTCACAGCCGGCGGCCGCCGCGCAGCCGGAAGGCTACCGGCTGCGTCACTCGAGTCGGCGCCGCGCCGCGCCGGCCGCCGGGCCCGACCGGCTGCGCGAGACGGTGGACGCGCTCCGACAGCGTGGGATGACGCGCTACGACGCGCGCATTATCGCCGAGCAGCGGCTGCGGCTGGCACCGGAGCCGCGCGGCCGCGCCGGGCCGGGCCGGCGGCTGGCGGCGCGCGCCGCCCGCCCGCCAGCCAAGCGTAGCCCGGCCGGCGACGACGCCAGCGAGTCGGCCAGCGGCGGCAGCCCGTCCAGCGACGACAGCGCCTCCAGCGGCGAGACGCGTTGCGAGCTGCTGGGCTGGCGGCGGCGGCGGCGCGCCGGCGAGCGGCGCCGGCTCCGGCTGGACTTCGACGCCGGCGGTCGGGACGGCTGACCGGCCGCGGCCCGCTGCCGCCGCCGCCGCCCGCTACCCCGTATTCCATAGTACCAGTACAACACTGCTATACCTCGGCGGCGCGACTGCTGCGTAGGCCAGACCTGTCTCCGCTGCGCTGTGCATACCACTGCTTTTGCAGACTGTGTTCATGGTTCGCCCGTACCGGACGCGGGCACGGTGTTCATTGATTCCGCCGCGCTGGCGCCGGCGATGTCCAGCCCGTGCGCGCGCTGCCGTCCGCCGGCCTGACGGCGGCGATTTTGTACGTAACGTTCCGTTGCCAGGTGTTGCTCTGGGCGGCGCCCGACGTGGCCCGCCAGGCGGCCGAGGACCGGCGAGCAAGTCTCCTTTTGATCTCATCGTTTCGAGGGAGTGGTTGACTTGGTCGGGTGTTGGTCCCCCGCTTCGGGGTATTGTTATGTGGCTCCGATCAGGGGAGTTGTGTTCATAGTTCAACGCCATCTGATCGAAATAGATGTAGATGTTTCTAGCCGTTGTCCTCCCTCGTCGGGGTCCACGGCGATACGCGGAGTCAACACGTGGCGCGGTGTTTGTCACCGGTGCGTCAGGTTTGCAAAATGGTTCCAGAACGGCGCCACTGAATAAACGCTGGCGTGGAAAAGGCAGTGTAGTAAGAGTAGATACCGCCCTTTCCCAATGCCCACTATATCGATGCGCTGGGATGCGGTCGCCGCGGAACTGCCCTCTGAACAAACTCATGGCGAGTGTGTCCAGACACGTCAATGGCATCGAGCGTGTCCATTAGTTGACGCCACAACAGGTCGTTAAGTTTGTTCGGGTCTCTGGGGCCTCAGGGCGCTACGGGGGCGAGTACTGCCGCGACGGAGCGCCAGCTGACAGGCTGCTCCCTTCAGTGCGCTACGCGGAGGGCTGTCTCGCGACAGCGACAAACGCCGTTAAAATTTCATTTCCTCGCCACATTCTTCGTGAACCCGTAAGAGAACCACGTGCCAGACACGTTAGCTAACGTGACAGCGTAGCATTGCACGCACTTCCCGAGCTGGGCTGTTTTCTTGAGTGTAACTGAATGTTTTATCGACAGCACTTTTGCTATCTTCATGACTGTTGACAACCGCAGACCGTTGTCCCGCCCTCATAATTGCTTGCCAATTACGGACACTTATCCCAACGAAACCCACATCCGAGAACATCGCTAATGTCGCGCCTGGGGGATGCATTATCCGTAATGGAAAACTCTGTCCTCCATTGAACTGAAATTGCTGGACCGGCGGGTTGCCCATGCCGCGAACGAGCGTTTTAACCGATCAGGCAGCATAGAAAAACGGGTGCGCGCCACCCCCGTCATGTCAAAGATTGTTTACAGCAATCTGCGAAAGTCGCCGCGAAGCTTTAGACAAAGTAGCGCTGCTTCTCCCCGCGATACCGCCGTCGCGGGGAACGCACGTCACAGCAGTCGATGAGACTGTCGTTGGACCCGCTTCCCCTGGTGGCATGGCGAGCTGGTGGTAATTGGTGCGCAGTAGTAAGTAAAACACGACGGTGAAAGCATTTCCCAAATCGGTTGAGAACTCGGCCTGCGCCCGCTGATAAGAGCGTTACGCTACAATGATGCTGCTGCCACCGAACGGCAAGAGAAATCCAGCTTAAAGGCGTTTCGCCGAGTGCTCGCTCACTGCACTTGGCCGCGAAATAAAAGCAGTAACAAGTGAGCTATTAATGCTCCATTCTGCTCCATCGTGCAGTACTTTGATATTGGACGATCACTGAGAACATTACGCAATGGTGTTTTGTAACGTTACTGTAGTTCCGAGGGTATTCATGTCGCTTCTTCCTAGGCATTACAAAAGCCACAATGCTTAAGGTTATTAGACTCTCGCCGGCCCACCATGTTCTGCGACTAACGAGACAATCTATTAGGTGACCATATTGAGATTAATAGCCGACCGTCAGAAATGTTGTCGGCGCTTCCACTTGCTTGTCAATCACAAGCAGGAAGTAGTCTATGGCCGCGAAAACATGAGTCTTGTCTTCATCACGTCGTCCTAGGCTCCACTGTAGTAAGCATTTGCATGCATGACAATCCAGAGCACCGCGTGCCCAGCCGCAGACGGCCTAATACAGCGAGCGGCTTGTACGCGGACGTTAGCGGCGGCGGCGGCAGCCGGATTTCCGACTCGTTCCCAGTCCGGACACTCGCCCACCTCACCTTCCACCCGTCACAGCACGCCGCAAACGCCCGCACCCGAACAGCTGGCCTTTATTGTGTCCGTCTGCCCGGGCGAGCGCACCCAACCCCTCACTGCGGCATGGGACCCCGGCCGCGGCCGAAGCCGCCGCGGAACTCCATCTGGCCAGCGCCGGCGCCGGCCTCGCCGCGCTTGTCGGGGCCGCCCTCGCCGGCGCGCCGGTACGCCGCCCGGTCGCCCTCCATCTTGGTGCCGTCGGGCCGCGGCGCCGCGGCGCGCGGCCGCGCCGTCTCGGCACGCGTCGGCCGCTTCAGGGTGGCAGGCACGATCTGCGGCGGGGCGGGGGGCGGGGGGAGGGCGGTCAGAGGGGGGCGAGCAGAGGGCCAAGGGGCGGGGCGACACTGCGGTCAGATGTGAGATGACTTCACAGAGTATCAGTCCACTACTTTTCAGACATCATGTGTGGTGGAGTGAGTGGGGGGGGGGGGGGGGGGGGGAGGAATTGGGAGCTATGGTATACCCAGCAAATGTTCAACAAAGCTGAGAGGCTTCATAACGTGGTCCGAGTAACCAACAAAGCTAAAGCTTGACAGTAAAGGCAGCATACATACAGATGTTCAGGCTTTATAGTGTGATCAGTAAGCACACATCAAAGCTGTCTGGTTTGATGGTGCAGCCAGTCATACCACCAAAAAGCCATAAAGTTCCATAACATGAAGAGTACAATTCAACAAAGCTGATAAGATTTGACAGCATGGCCCATGGTGCCTTGACAACAAAATTATGATGTCTTATCCAGGAGGGGAGTTGACAGGCGACCGACGACAAGCCAGGCATGCAAGGCAGACCCACCTCGGAGGGCAGGTGCAGGAAGTCCCGCAGGTAGGTGATGCCCTCGTTGGTCAGCGTCCAGTAGTAGTGGCGCCAGGCAAACTGCTCCGTGACGTAACCGCGCGACTTCAGGCTCTGAAGAGAACACATCAGTGCTCAGCTTCCACCATGTCAGGCACCCCAAACCCCAATGATGTCAGGAAGGGGCTGCAGGTGCCAATCACAGCAAAAGGGGCTTTATTTTGCACTCAGCTGCTTAGGCTATATGGCTACAGCAAAAGGATTTACTACCAAAAACATCACACAGAAAGTTTCATAATGACAAAATGAAGCCACCAGACCACATTACAAGACTAGTCTACCATCACTATGTCATCTGCCAGTGCCATCACTAAAAAGTACATGCTAGTGCAAATAATTATGCCATGCTGATTTGATTAAATACATGTAGATGAAGCATTCTGTCATGGACTAAGTAATGTGGACCAAAGCAGTGCAATAACCAAACCTGGCCAGAACTGTGGACCAAAGCAGTGGGATAACCCAACTTGGCCAGAACTGTGAACCAAAGCAGTGCAATAACCAAACTTGGCCAGAACTGTGGACCAAAGCAGTGCAATAACCAAACTTGGCCAGAGCTGTGAACCAAAGCAGTGAAATAACCAAACTTGGCCAGAGCTGAAACAAAGAATTACCTGTATTCTTTGAGGTTCTCAACATACAAACACGCTCAAATTTGTGAAGTCATGTGTTACAACAGTGCTCATTTAATTTTGCAGCCCATAAAATGAAACCTTTTCTTGCCCACGCTCCCAATTATCTGCTCCAGTTTCTTCTACTTACCTGCAGGGCCTTCATCACAAACAGGTTGGGGACAGCAACATTCGGATGCTTAGGCTTGTGTGGGTTCTTCATCGCCACCATAACACCCTCCTTGAAGAGGTATTCATAGATGAGCACACGGTCCTTCTTGGGCATCAACATCCTGAAAATCAAGTGGCATGATTAATTAAAGAACAGGGACTGTTCACACATCTATGATGATTTGTCAACTGGAACCAAAGGAAAATAGGTATCACAGTTTACATATCATACTCAGGCTCAGTGCTTCTAATGGATGAAAAT